CAGATTGCAGGCCCCGCCCTCTCCCGCTTGCCTCAGATTGCAGACCCCGCCCTCTCCCGCCTGCCTCAGATTGCAGGCCCCGCCCTCTCCCGCCAGCTCCAGATTGCAGGCCCCGCCCTCTCCCGCCTGCCTCAGATTGCAGACCCCGCCCTCTCCCGCCAGCTCCAGATTGCAGACCCCGCCCTCTCCCGCTTGCCTCAGATTGCAGGCCCCTGCCTCTCCCGCCTGCCTCAGATTGCAGGCCCCGCCCTTTGCCAAGCCGGCAGTGACGTGTCTCGCCGCGCAGCCGCGGGATTCAAACTCCCGGAAGCGGTGTCCCGGCCAGAGAGTTGCAGGGGGTCTGACGCAGCGACGCGAGCGCTGTGTTTGGTCTCAGGTACTGAGTGACTCGGGCCTCGGCGGGGGAGGGTGGAGAGCACAACCCGGGCCGCAGCCCCAGGGCTGGACTGGAGCGCACAGGAGGGGGCATCGGAGGGCAGATTACGGCCGCAGGACTCCGTCTCCGCTCGCTGGAACCCATGCTCGTTTCCTGAGAGACTGCACGCTGGGTGCCTGTCGACGTCGAGCGCCCTCCTTTCGATTCCTTTCGACTTTGCGGTATTTATCACTTAACCGAGGCCCCGAGAGGCCAGTGACCTGACGCCGGTCTCTCGTGCGTTCGGACTTTGCTGTTAGCAAGCGCTTCTCTTTGCAGTTTCTAGTTCCCTGTCTCTTTCCTGCCTCCTCATAGATAATTGGTGCAATTTACTGAATGGGAATGCTTCTTTGGTCTCTTCCTGACCAGAGTGACTTAGGTCCCTTCAGCCCAGTCAGTCAGAGACTTCCGAGCATCTGCCTTTAAGCTCTTGGATAGCCAAAACAAATAAAAAATAAAAAAATTAAAATACAGTTCTTTTGACCAGTTACTGGCTGACAACTACTGGCTGGGAGCAGGTTATAATTGACTACTAGCCTGTGTATGTGTGGTTAATTCTGTCACTCTTATTAGAGTTAAGAAAGGGCTTCCTGAAGAAGATGCTACCAGGACTGGTGAGGCCCTGGCTGGAACTTTATGAATGAATGGAATAGAAAATCCTTGGAAAGGAAGGCGGTAGAACTTGGAAAGGAAGGTGGGAGCAGGGCTGCAGGTGCGGAGGAGTGGGCTAGGTCGGTCTAGATCAGCGTCGGGAACACTGGTCATTCAGGAGGCCTCTCCAAAAGTTAGGAAGTAAATGTCTTTGAAGGTTCTTTCGAGTTGTGTTGATCTATATTTCTAATTTTCTTGTCTCAATGACTTGGTAGTTTCCTTTCTACCAACCCAGGGTATTAAGTCCTCCTTGTGACATCAACCGAAGCACAGGGAGAAACTTTTGTAGTAGGAGGTTCCTAAGACAGCAACTGCATCTGCCTCCGAGGGTTGTGTTGTATAGCTAGCTGCCTTAGTTTTTGATAGGATAATGGGAAAAAAAAATCAAGGATGAATGCTTTGATATAGACTTTATTCTACTTAGTCTATTCAGTTCTGTAATTTTTAGGCTAATTTCACACAGGATGATCTTACATGGATCTACCCTAAGTAGATCTCCCTGTTTTTATTGGTATCTCTTATGACTATTATTATTTCCTCTGGGTGTTTATTACAGTTTGAAAATGTGTGAATCTGTGTTTCTGTTGTATTGCTGTTGTCTGTCCTACTGTACTGAAGGCTTCCTGGCATCAGAAGACTGTTGTTTCCTCCTCCTCCTCCTGTTGCTTTAACCAGTTTATACCCAGTCCCTATTAGGTTCCAAACCACCCTGGGCTATATTGAGAAATCTACTCTTAATAGCAAATATAAGTATTCAAGTTGTCATATTTCTAGAAAGTGGATATTTCCCTTGTATCCACTACCTGAGTTTTTTTTTTAACCTGAGATTTTAAAAAATATTCACTGCAACATCCCAGAAATCTTCCTCAGTTTTCTTTCTTACCTCCACTGATTTGGATAAATCACTTTGATTTAGAGCAAAATAGGCTGTAAGGCCTCTTTCAGACCTGAGATATGAAAGTTTAAACTCAGATTTCAAATGCAGCTGAATTTAAAATATTAATTAATTAGTTTGTTTATCTATTTTTCACAGATCATCTCAAGGATGTCTTCCAGAAGTCCCAAGGATTTAATTAAATGCAAGTGGGGATCAAGGCCTAGCAGCTCCAAGTCGGACACTGCATTAGAGAAATTTAAGGGAGAAATTGCAGCCTTTAAAACATCCCTGGATGAAATCACAAGTGGGAAAGGAAAAGTGACTGATAGGGACAAATGCAGACTTTTGGAGGTAAATGGTTGTAGAGTCCTTTAGAGGTATATGCAATACATTCTAGAAAGCAGTGCATTTGGCTTGCTGATGCTGTATTCTTATTCTTTCCATTGTTCTTGTTTGACCTGTTCTTTTTAGTTCTTGAAAGTTGATCTTGAATTTGGAATCTTAAGTTCCTACTTTGATTTTACCAACCTTTAGACATACTTTATTATTAATTCTCTACTTTAAAATATTGAGTATTTGTTTTGAGATTGTCAGATAATAAGTTGTTTCAGAAATAAAACATCATGATTAATAGTTTTGTACTTTTAATATAATGGCTGTGATCTTGTGATCTATTTGTTCCCCTCACTGTAAAAAGATTTGCTTTATGTATATGAGTGTTTTCTCTGCATGTATATCTGTGTATCATATGTGTGCCTGGTGCCTGCAGAGGTCAGAAGAAGGCATAGGATCCCCTGGAATTGGAGTTTGGATTGTTAAAAGGACTAAATATGGTTCCTCTGCAAAAGCAACAGTACTCTTAACTTAACCAACTCTCCAAACCCTCATATTTTTTGTTGTTGTTTTGTTTCACTTTTTCAGATAGGATCTCATGTAACCCAGGTTGGTCTGGAACTTGAGCTATTTAACTGAGAATGACTTTAAACTTCTGGTTCCTCTGCCTCCACCTTTAAGTGCTATGATTATAGTCATGTGCCATTACACTTAACATATTTTTTCAAGTATTGCAAACAAATTAATAAACTAATCTGGCATTCATCATGTTAACCCACCTCCCCCCAGGGTTTCTCTGTAGCTTTGGAGCCTGTCCTGGAATTGGCTCTGTAGATCAGGCTGGCCTCAAACTCAACAGAGATTTGTCTGTCTCTGTCTCCCTAGTGCTGGGATTAAAGGCATGTGCTATCACCACCCGAATGTAACTTTTGATAATTTGTCTTAATTATATTAATATCTTGATAAAAATTTGTTATACAGTTAAGGATCAAGCTGTGTTGTTACATGAAAGAAGGCCAGGCAAGCGGTACATGGTGGACCAGAGCTGAATTCATTTTAACTGATAAGTGATCCATGACAACCACATGAATCCACTCATGAGGTCTGTGCCCTCATGACCTCATCACCTTTAACATTGTTGCTTTGAGGGTTAAGTACATTTGAGGGATCATATTCAAACATAGCATGCTGTGTTTAAGATTGTAAAACACACTGGCTTACCATTTATAATTTTTATTGGCTATATAACTTGGAATTATATATGTTCTGTTTCCATGCTTTTTGGGATACTTGAAGGATACTGTGCCATTCTCATGTCTTTTTTTTTTTTTTTTTTTAACTATAGTTGAAGAAGAAATATTTTCTCAAATATTACATGATTTTATTTTATTTTTGGTTAGTTCACAAAATTTTTAAAACAAATCTATGCATTTAAGATATCGTGAGTGCTTTATCCACTTCAAAGTACTAAATAATGTTCAGGGTTCCTTGTAAATGTTTAGATACCCATTTTATTATTCATATTGGTTGCCCTGTTAGCCTACTCATTCTGACAGTTGTTTTTACCGTCTTTCTCTTGGCTCTTTCCTTTGTTTGCTGCAGCAATGTGACAAGCATTGATTTAGCCTCCTCCCACCACCAGATGGGTTTCCTCTCTGTCTGCCTCCTCTTAGGTGTGTGTACATGCTAACTTAAGCACAGCTGGCCTTAATATAAGGACTTTGTATGCCTGTGGACTGAGCATAGCACTGAGCTCCATTTTATGGTCCTGATATCATAAAATCAAATTTGATATGTAGTAAATACTTTATAAATGCTTATGGAAATGCATTGTTTAGCTGGATGCTTGAGCTGGCTGAATTCTCAGATTCTTCTTAGTTTCTATTTAGAAAATTCAAGTTCTTGAAGCTGAGAGAGAGAAGAATGTTTATTACCTCACAGAGAAAGACAAAGAAATACAGAGACTCAAAGACCAGCTAAAGGCAAGATACAGCTCCTCCTCCTTGCTCGAGCAGCTGGAAGAGAAAACAAAGGAGTGTGGGAAGAAGCAGCAGTTGTTGGAGTCCTTATCCAAAGAGACAGATGTCCTGAAGAAGCAGTTGTCCGCCATGACGAAAAGACTTTCTGAACTGGAAAGCAAAGCCTGTACACTCAATCTGTCACAGGTGCAGACTTTCTTTAATCTCAGTTTCTTCTTATCTGTTACAATTTATAGTTCTTATGAAGAATGAGTATTTTAATGTTTGTGAAGTAATGCGAAACCTTAGTGCACCTACAGATGCTTCCTTTTGGTTTTTAGTTGAGTCCTCTTCCATAAATAAAAGCAGTGTGGTTCCCTTCACTCCCACACTGTTGTTTCACCCAGATGAATATTCACAAGACAGTCCATGCTGTAGCTACAATAGTCTAGAAAGATTTTGCTGAGATTTTATTTTCATAGTTTGTATTATGTAAGCATTAGGTTTAAGTTTTTGGTTAGTTTTCCTATTTGAGATAAAGAGTTATACCAAATATGTTTTCCCTAAGTGCACATACATTTTCTTTCCCTCTTGTTTGAGAGGAACTGTGTCATAGAATGAACAAGATGTGTAAAAATCATGTGAGTTTCAATCTTGGTTTGGTTTTGCCAGCTGATAGCCTGTAACTCTGAGTGATTCCCTTAGCCTCTCTGGAAGGAGAGAGGGTGCTAGAGCAGGTCAGTCTCCTTTTATAAGCCTTGATTTCACATCAGTAAAACCGGGCTAAGAGCACTGATGATTCCATATGACAAGATTGACAGGTGCCTTGCAGAAAGCCTAGAATATACTAAGTGCTTACTTATTGACCAGACCTTTGATTCTTTTGACATTTGGTTATTACTGACAACTAGTAATACTATCCATATAAGAATAAGTATGAATTGTAATTTCTCAGTGGTGTGATGCTGTTACTTTTCCTCTCTCTATGTTTAAAGAAGGAAGGTTTGTTGTGGTTTATAGTCTGAGGGGATCATTCCATCATGGCAGGGAAGGCATGGAAGCAGATGGAGAAGTGGAGGTCTGCCTATAAAGCTTCAAGACTGACCCTAGTGACCTGCCTCCTACAGCAAGACTCCACCCCTAAAGGCTCTTCAGCCTTCCCAAACAGCCCCAGTGTTCACACAGGCCCTTCCTTGTAGATACTTAGAAAAACATCAGAATTCCCCCAAATCCTGAAAAGCAGGATTTTTAGAGTTTGCTGGCTAGTCTGGGATTATAGCCATTTGGTTTTCCTCTTTTTCTCTATGGGAGAATAAAGAAAGGAGAGCTATTATGAAGTTGTTTTGAGTTTCATGAAATTTATTTGAAGAGTTACTTATTAATATTATAGTCTCCCAAATCTGAAACTTTTTGACAGTTATCAAGTGGAAAATTTCACACCTGACCTTATGTAACCATCACAGCCAGAATCCAGGCACACTGAAATTTTGCATAAATTATGCGTCTATGAGACAAAATGACTTGGCAGTGGTGGCCAGCAGATCTCTGAATTCTAGGCCAGCCTGGTCTACAGAGTGAGTTCCAGGACAGTCAAGGCAGAGAAACCCTGTCTTTAAAAAAAAAAAGGAAAGAAAGAAAGAAAAAAATGAATTTCACATACAGAGTTTGAAATACTCAACCTATACTAAAACTTTTTATATTTAACAGTTTGGTTTATTTCTTTGAAATAGAGTAGTTATTTGATTCCTTTTGTTGAAAACTCAGTGGGCTAATTATGTGCAGTAAAGATTGTTCTGGAGGTTGTGGTATCTAGAAAATCTCAGTAAAATTAGATCTGAAGTCTCAGGGCTTCCAGATCGCTTAGGACAATGATTCTCAACTTTCCTAATGCTTTAACCCTTTAACATGGTTCCTCATCTTGTGGAGACCCCCACAACCATAAAATTATTTTTGTTGCTACTTCATAATGATAATTTTGCTGCTGTTATGAATCATAATATAAATATTTTGGAGATAGAGGTTTGCCAGATGGGTCAAGACCCACAAGTTGAAAACTGTTGGCTTAGGAATATTGCCAGCAAATTTAGTTCTGGCAGTAGTTAGTCCCTTGGTAATTTTCACCTGCCTTAGTGGTTCACCAGTAATACAAAGGTGTGCTTGGGATGCTTTGAGAAATATTTTGTATTTTTGTGGAGCTTAATATAATGAAACTTGTTAAGTGGATGATGTTAACTAATATTGGGTTATTTACAGAGCGTGCCTGCAAACTGCTTCAACTCATCAATGAGTAGTATTCATGAAAAGGAAATGCAGCTGAAAGATGTAAGTTATTTTGGTGGTTTTTTTTGCGGGGGTGAGTAAAGAGGACTAATTTATATGTTCTTAAATTTCATAGAAATCAGAAACATTAGTGTTATGACTTAAATCTCTTGAGGCAGGAGAACTGAGTGTTTGAGATCATTGTCGAGTATCTGTAGACTAGAAAGTTCTAGAAGCTTCCAACTACCTTAGCATTCTTTTTCACCTAAATCTAATTTGCCCAAATAATTGCTTATTATAATGTAATTTATTTTAATTAATTTTCTTTTTATTTATCTATTTGGTATGTATTCATTATCTTCAAGTCTTTCGCTGAGAATATTTGGAAAGGAAATGTTTTGTGTATACTCAGTAGTTCTCTAGAATTACACAAGATTACTTTAGCTGTACCAGAAAGCTTTATTATTTCAAACTTATAAATGGATAAGTAAGTTTTTCTGGAAATGAAAAAACCGAGGGCACAGGACTATTTGTATTTTTTTCCCCAAGTTTCAGATTAAATATGTGAAGTAGAAAGTTGTTGATTTTAGTTTTAGATCATTAGGTAGCTATTCTGATTACCTGTGTGTCTACAGGTGTGTCTACCCTGATACTGATAAGTGTGTTCTTAAGATTCCTTTTTTATTTAGTCTAGCAGGTATCCCTTGAAGTCTATTTGACTTCTAAAAGAAGAATTTAAATATTTTGAGTTTGTATACAGGGTGTTATGGTACCTTACTTTACCTGGAGGTAATTGAAATAAATATAATTTTAAAAATTACTAAATAGGGTTTATTTTAGTGTCATATTTTACAGTGATTTTTGGCCCCCCTGTTTATATTAGTACCTAGCAATTAGATGCATATATTTAGGTAATTTACCTTATACACCTTTCATTTTCTCATTGTTTATTTCTGTCCTGCTGGATTTCCAGCCGCTCCTTGAAAGGAATAGCCTTGTTGCCCTCTGATTTCTCTGGCTGGGCCCTCTGTTTATCTGTTTACATGAGAAAGACTTACAGAGCAGTAAATTCTAACTCAGTTCACCTTCCAGCTAAATCCAAATTGAGCTCTGTGGATCTTGAGGCTTTGTGGATCTAGATAATTTTCTTGAAATGTAGATTTGGGTTTAATGGGTCTGGGGTGGGGTTTCCATTCTGCATTTCCTGCTTGCTGTAGCTGCTGGCTCCTGGAGCACAATTGGATCATTTTTAACTTCTGAAGAGCTCCAGGCAGTTCAGCTCTTCTGGTTTTTTGATCTCAGCAAATCTCTGAGGAGGACATTGTAGTTGGGAGACTTGGATAGCAGGGAAGAGACATCTCATCTCACTCACTCCTCATTCTACACTGGTATGATCACATTGTAGAGCTTGGAAACTAATTCCATCTCAAAGTTCCCAGAGATGTGCATAAGGAGACTTGTCTTTCTAAGAATTATACTTGTTAAGTAAAATAAGCTTTAGAATGCATGTGTATGTTTTTATTTTTTAGTCACCATTTAGGTCTGTCAGACATTTTGAAATAATTACCTGGTAATAATTGTTAGATTTCTTAGGCATCTTAAAGACACAAATGCAGAAAGGTCGATGCATCTGACCTTAGGCAGGACTGTGTTTATTGGTGGACACATAGCCAGGAGGCATGATGTCACCCACGTGGGTGGTTGAGCCACATGTCCCATAAAAATAGGGGGTATGTCTTCTTTTATCATCTCAGATTCAAAGAGGCTGTAGGGCCAGTGAAAGGTTCTCAGAGCTTTTACCTACTGGCCAGTGGAGAATTCCAGGAGTTCTCAGCCAATCTTAGCCAGTGGAAAGCTCTTGGAATCTTAAAGCAATATGGGGATCACCACACCTAACTGGGGCTTCTCCAAGTTAAGTCTAATTAATAGATTACCTTGTCCCAGAGTTTTACTGTGTGTCATGCATGTTTTGGAAGTGGCATGAACTCACGCATGTAAATGGTTGTGCCATACATCTTTCAGCATGTGGGCTGATGATGAGAGAATGCCTGTGGAAAAAGGTAGGGGTTGGAAATCTCTCCCCCCCTCCCCCACAGTCCTTCCCTTCTGGAGTTGGCTTGCCTGACTGGCTGGGAAGTATAGTCTTTCTTCAGGAAGCTATTAGTAATGCCATAAATGTTGTCAAATGCCAAAACTGTTATCATTTTTGTATAAACTACCAGAAAACTAGCCGAAAGTGAGGAACCAAAAATTAAAATTAATAAAAGTTTAAAAACTTGGGCCCTGAAAAGGGAACATCTAATGATAAAGGAAAATTTAACTCCTTAAATCAGGAGTGCCATGACTGGAGCCTGATCCCCTGCTCTCAGAGAAAGGGAGGTAACTGTCCACCACTCCTATTAACATTCTTTTGCTAATTGTTGGTTGTAAAGATCCCCCAGCCCAGGGGATAATTGACAGACCCGTGACCCTGTAACCCTGCAAGTCCATGCCCTGTCTTATCTCACTCAAATGTATCTCACTTAAAATATATAGCTCTTGCTTTACTCTGTACTTTGTATGTCCTGAGGTAACCATGGAAACTCTGTAATTTGTGGCCTTTAACTTGTGGTCTGCCCCTTTAAAAGCTTCTCTTTTGGGCTGGTTGGCATTTCATTTGCCTGCCATTCAGTGAGATCCTAGCTGGCCAGCTTGAAATAAAAAACCTTTTGCTTTTGCATCAGAGTGTTGACTCCTTGGGTTAGTCTCTGGGCTCCGAGAACCTGGCACAACACAAAGTAGTAGGCATTTCCAGGTCTTAACATTACAAAATTGGATTTTCAAACAACTTAGAGAAGATATGTAATTTTTATTGCTTTAGAAAATATAAATTAATAGAAAAGTTCTACAAATGAGAACTTGTATCACTTTTATACTCTACCTAAATTTAACTGTTCGTGACAATCTCACCCCCACCCCCACCCCCAACTCCCCAGGGTTTCTCTGTGTAACAGCCCTGTAGACCAGATTGTCTTTGACCTCACAGAGATCCACCTGCCTCTGCCTTCCAGTGCTGGGATTAAAGGTGTGTGCCACCATTGCCTGGCTGGTCATGACTTTTTTGTGTATGTGTGTGTTTTTGAGACAGGGTTTCTCTGTGGCTTTGGAGGCTGTCCTGGAACTAGCTCTTGTAGACTGGTGTGTGCACCAATGCCCAGCTGTTCATGACATTTTAATCCGTTTTTGTGTTTTTTTTTCTCTTACCTTTCACCTAAGTATTTCATTTTCTGAGCCATTCAAGAGTGAGCTGCACTTATCTGTAATTATTTAGCTTTACCTATGTATTCATTTCTTACGTCTTACACAAGAACTTAGAAATTTAACATGGACATGATACTTATAGTTATTTTACCATTCCTAATCCAGATTATCAATGAACTCATATTTTATTCCTCCAGTACAGATTGCATTTTGATCTATTTTGAAATTTTTGTCTACAGAGTACTAAGCAGATCCCTAGGAATGCACTTTCTTTTTTAAAGGTAAATGTTAAGTGCATGCCTCCTGTATGTGTAGATGACACAAAGCTAGAAGGAATAGCTAATGTGATGTCTCTAAAAATTCAAACCCAGTATCATTGAGAGCTTTTGAGCTGGTCATTGATAGTATTAGAGAAGAAAGGGTAGATGCATATAAAAGAATTGGAGAGGAAAACAATGTTTGCTTAGCTGGACATGGTGACATAAACCTATAATATTAGTGGCTTGAGGGTCTGAGGCAGGAGGATCACAAGTTCAAGGCCCGCCTGGGCTGGGCTATAATAGTGTGTTCAAGGCCAGGCCAGGCCAGGCCAGGCAGAGGTTAAAGGTGAGAAGAGCTTACTTTGTTAAGTAACATCGCCATCATGTGGCTTTTAAGAGTATTACCTCTTAAATCTTTTCTTTAAAAAGATTTTTGTCTTTAATTATTATTACATATATAGTACATATAAATAATATAAGTATAATCTGGGGAGTTCATTTAATGTTGCCCATATGTATATGTTTTTAGGGTTCGTCACTTGGTATTGGATAGCCAGTTAGAGAGCTCATCCCTGGGAAAGACTGGTTCCTTGCCAACAATCATTAATTTCCTGTAACTGAAATCTTAAATATATCTTTAGTTCATGTACTTGAGTAAAGTTCATTTGAAAAACATTGATGACTATTTAATGTAGATTTAAATTATTTGTATTGCTACTTTTTGTTCGTTTGTTTGTTTGCTTTTTGAGACAGGGTTTCCCTGTGGCTTTGGAGGCTGTCCTGGAACTAGCTCTTGTAGACTAGGCTAGTCTCGAACTCACAGTGATCCACCTGCCTCTGCCTCCCGAGTGCTGGGATTAAAGGCATGCGCCACCACTGCCCAGCTATACTGCTACTTCTTAGCGATGGACAAGTATAAAGTTTGATAGAAAATTAAATATCTTTAATGTGTAATATTGCAGTTTATAGGTAGTTAGATATACACATGTGCTCTTCTGGTTACATGGTATTCTTTGTTTTGTTTGTTTTTCAAGACACGGTTTCTCTGTGTGACAGCCCTGGCTGTCCTGGAATTTGATCTGTAGACCAGGCTGGCCTCCAACTCACAGAGATTCACCTGCCTCTGCCTCCCGAGTGAGGAGGCCTGCACCAGTAGGCCTGGTAACAAGTGTTCTTTAGACTAAATTTGAACATGAGCTAGAAGAGGTCCTTATGATGACTCAATCCGAAGGAATATTAGGCTTTAAGGCACACATCACCACTGATATGTCTCTTGGGACCCTTCACCCAGAACATATAACATGCACATAGTATCAAGTTTGGATGTGCATGACCTTTTGTACAAAAACTTGTTTAGACTTATTTCCAGCCTCTCAGGATCATAGAACAAGGGGCAACAATTAATCTGTTCTATTAGACTGAACAAGTATATTGGAGAGGAGTTGTAATGTTATTGTGTGTTCACATTGTATTAGAATGTCTAGACTTTGTCCCCTTTCCATTAAAAGCAGGTTTGTAATCTTCTCTAGCTAATACAATGTCTCACTATATAGCCCTGGCTTGTCTCAAACTCATAGAAATTCTCCTGCCTCTGACACCCCAGTGCTGAGATTAAAGGTATGCACCACCACACCCAGCTATTTAGTTGCTTAGATATAAGGTTGCACCACATAGCCAACTCAGGGTCTTCTCTTAGGCGCTCTGGTGCTGGGGTTACAGGCTTCAGCCTGGCTCTCCTGTAGCTATTCACTTGAACCTGCCCTATTTTCAGTAGCAAAACTCTGGCAAAAAGGGGTGAAAGGTAGCAAGAAGGAATGGTACATGTTTTGTAGGAATGGCTGGGCTGCCTGACAGACTCCTTTTGTTTTGATTTGGTTAAGTTTCCAAGAGTCAACTAGTAAAGGATAGGGACTTAGAATCAAAGCTCTTTCTAGAAGTAAGATTTGAACATTCCAGTTCATAGGCAATAATGTGTACATAAACACAAAGTGAGCTGCGTATGGGAGGTAGCATACAGGCAAATTTAATCCTTTGGAAACTGTCTTGTATTCTAAAGAGATAATACATACAGTGGCTGTCTGTAAGTAATTTATAAGCCATAAGATTTTGTATGTGTTGGAAAAGACAGTGTCATGGGGACTGCCCTTACACATTTTAAGATCTGGACTTTTTTCTTATACTGTTGATTTTTTCATTCACTGTAAGGCTCTGGAGAAAAATCAGCAGTGGCTTGTGTATGACCAGCAGCGAGAGGCCTATGTTAAAGGACTTTTAGCAAAGATCTTTGAGCTGGAGAAGAGAAAAGAAACAGCCGCTACTTTACTCCCACAGCAGATGAAAAAGACTGAATCAGAAGGTTATCTTCAAGAGGAAAAGAAAAAATATGATCATCTCTTAGAAAATGCCAAAAAAGATCTTGAAGTTGAACGACAAACCGTAACTCAGTTGCGTTCAGAACTTGATGAATTTAGAAGAAAATAATCTTGAACTAAGAAATAGCATTTGGAGAGTCTGTTTCCTTTCCCCCTGTTTTCGGATATAAGAGGCCATAGGCCACAGGTGAGAGAGTCATCCATCACAGAGTTCTGAAGTCATGGTGATTTTCCCTATATGAACACCTTTCCCCGTCTTCAAAGTTCTTAGTTCCTCCAGAGCTCACCTAGGCACCAGATTCCTTTGCAGAGGTGGGGGTGGGTGGTGGTAGACGGGCTGGGTGATGAATTGAGATAAGGTTTTGTTTGCCACATACTTCTGGCTAGCCTGGTACTTAAAATTTAGCCTAGGCTAGCTTCCAATTCAGAGAAGTCCTCTTGTCTCAGTCTCCTAAGTGCTAGAATTATAGGAGTGTGCCCCTACACTGGACATCAGCTGTTATTTTATTTTGCTTGCCTTTGGCTTTTATATCAGCTCCAAGAGAAAGAATAGGCTTTGTAGATGATGCCTCAACCATTTAATCCTTGCTGGGAGCTTGAATAGTTACCCATGATGCTGTCTCTCTGCCCAGTGTTCTACAATTTTCCTTACATTGATTTCCCCTGTGTTAGACAACACCTCTTAGGAGGTGGGCGGGGAAGGGTCATACTTAACAGGTAAAGAAGTAACACGAAAAATAAAGACCCAGAGACTGATTGATACGAGGTTCAGGTTTCAAGAGGAATATCTTGAAAAGCAAAGCAGCCAGCCACTAGCTCTCACCTCTAGCTCAGGCTGAAAGGGTTGATCCATGCATGAGCCCTTCACCATTTCTCAAACTGCTGCTTCTCCTCACTGTGGCTGGAGAAGGAATACCTTTCTGAGACCTTGCTTCTGTTTTATATACTTCCCTAATGTTGGGATTAAAGTTGTGATTCTCTTTTAGACTGATTCGCTCTTGTAGATCTAGGTGGCCTTGGACTCACAGAGATCCATCTGTCTCTTAATCGGGAGCCCTAGGATTAAAGGTGTGAGTCACCATTGCTTGATCTCTATAGCTTGAGGCTGACTTTGCTTTTCTGACTCTTCAGTCAAACTTTAATAAATCATAAATAACATATCACTACACATCTCAAATGCCAGTCATAGCCCCCACCTCCTGATTCTTCATTTTATAAGCTGAAGAAATGTTGAGGTCTCATTTGTAGGAATATGTTTGGAGTTTTAATTTCTTGGGCTGTTACAAAATCTATTGTGCCTTAATGTTGTTTGTTACAGGTTATCTTCAAGAGGAAAAGAAAAAATATGATCATCTCTTAGAAAATGCCAAAAAAGATCTTGAAGTTGAACGACAAACCGTAACTCAGTTGCGTTCAGAACTTGATGAATTTAGAAGAAAATATGAAGAAACTCAGAAAGAGGTTGAAGATTTAAACCAACTCTTGAGTTCACAGCGGAAGGCAGACATAGAACACCTGGAAGAGGACAGACACAAGACAGAGAAGATCCAGAGACTCAGGGAGGAGAGCAGCATCTTCAAGGGCAAACTGGAAGAAGAGAGGAAAAAGTCTGAAGAACTCTTATCTCAGGTGAGCCAGCCGCTGAGCTCTCTGTTCTTCACACTTCAACCAAGGGTCAGGGAGCCCAGAACACTGGGCAGCCAGCAAGGAGCAGAACAGTCCCTGCCTCCTTTGGGCATTCCTATTTTAGCATGGAAGTAGATCATAAGTTAGTACCTAAGTCAATGGATAAGCTAAGGAAAATAAAAGAAGAATATGTGAGATGAAGAAACAGGGTCTTGGTGGTCTCCTAGAAGTGATGGTGTTTAGAGACTTGATGGCGGGATCCTGCATAGTGATTCTCTGGGAATTCCCCTTCAGTGGAGGACATCACATGAGTGAAGAGGTGATTATGTGAGAAGTAAAGGCAGTGAGAGCTATCCAGTTGATACCTTGACTGTACTGTTGAGTGTGCTGATGTTGTGCTCAAATGAATTCCTAATGCACCTTAGAAAGAACATAGAAACCCATAGAAAGAACAGTGTTTGGAATTCACACTTGGGCTCTAGACAGAGTACGTGACCTGTCTTCTGACTCACAGCCTTCACTAGTCAAATGAATAATAGCCTCTACTTGCCTCGTAAGACTGCTGTATGGGGCAACTGAGTAATAATAAAGCTCTTTGTAAACTAAGTAGATGCCAGTGGAGATTATTGTTATTGTCATTGTAATTTGTAACATCCTGCAGAAGTTGAGAGCTGAGGAAGAGTCAGTAATCTTAATATTTTCTTCCTTCATCTTGACTTTGCTAACTTTGACTTGTAAGTATGGGTAGTGACATTTGGGAAAGGTTAAACAAAAATAAGTAAATTTTGCTCTTGCTCTGTGTGTAGACAGGGCACATCCCTCTTTGTTATCCTCTGAAATGATGGCTGATAGCAGAGCCTCCAGGAAAGGGGGTGTGGCCACACAGAGCTGTGTCCATCACTCAGTCTGTATGCTTAGGGAACTTAGTCAGGATGACACTGCTCATCCTGCTTAAGTAGAAGGCCTCAGATAGCCAGCTGCAATGAGTCATTGCTCAGTAGGAGTTGTCCTGGTTAGAGGTGGGAATTGTGACATAGGTTTCTCATCTATCACAAGTCTAGTGAGGAGAGGCAGGTGAAGTAATGCCAGCTCTCTTTGTGTCCTCCAGGTCCGCATTCTTTACGAGTCTCTGTTAAAGCACCAAGAGGAACAGACCAGGGTAGCTCTGCTGGAGCAGCAGGTACTTACTGTGGATGCTCGAAAGTTCGTTGAGCTGCTAAAAAACAGAACGTCCCCTGGTATTTATACTGTTCTATGGAGAACTACTTGAAAGGTGTAAACCAAAATGTTTTAAAAGACTAACACACATTTTCTTAGAGACTCTGTACCATTCACATATTCTGTATCTGTTCTTAGCTTAAACCAGATTCTTAGAGGTGTGGTGGCAGCTTTCCTGACAGCTTGGCTTTGGCAAATGTTGTTCTTCCATGACTATAGTTCCTACTCTAGCCTTACAGGGTTTTTCACTAGGTCACTCTGTGAGTTCAAGCAGAGTGGACACCTGTTACGATAAATCTTTCCGCCAAAAGCCACCTGAGCCCCACTGCCACGTGTGCGCTTTATGCCAGCTGCCAGCCCGAGTTAGGGCCCAAATTAATGCACAGAGAGACTTGTATTAGGTTCAAAGCTGCTTGGCCAATGACTAGGATTCCCATCTGTTAGCTCAGTCTCAATTATCATAAATCTATATATTTTATAAGATTTATCTTATCGGATGCCTTATTGGCGTCCCTCCTTGTTGGTGGATCACATTGCACTGCTGGAGGAAGAGCGGAGGGGAAAAGGGGACACTTCCTGTTTTCCTTGCTAAATATTAGTCTCCTTGCTATGTCACTTCCTGCCTGGAACACCACTTCTCTACTACATTTCCCAGAATCCTCTTTGACTCCTAGTCCTGCCTAACTTGCTGCCATTGGTCAAACCGTATTTTATTCAACAATCAAGATAAACATACACACAAGTACATTCCCCATCAGACACCATTTATCCTTAAAATGTATAGTAGAATTTCTTAATGTATTTCAAACCAGGGAGTAGCCATCTCCCACTTCCCACCAAAAATTCTAAGAATGTGAAGGAATAACTCCAACCAGTAACTTCTTAAGCTGCCTCCCACTCATCAGTACCTTAGGTCTTGGCTTTGCTAGTTCATAAACCAGCTCTTTAGCCATAAACTTCATTTACTAATAATTTTTTGTTTTGTTTTTGAGATGGGATTTCTGTGTACAACAACCCCAGCTGTCCTGGAACTAGCTCTGTAGATCAAGCTGGCTTCAAACTCACTGATCTGCCTGTCTCTACCTCCCAGCACTCAGACTAAATGTGTGTGCAACCACTACTTGGTCATTTACTAATAATCTTGCTGTGCTAAGATAAGTTCTTGATAAGCAGACCCAGCAAATATTCTCTTGTGCTGATAAAGACTAAACATTTGTTGCTGAAGTTTTCTTTTCCCACCAGGTCCTGCCGCCCTTTTCAGCTCCAAATAAACACATAGATACTATATTAGTTATAAAACTGTTGGCCAATGGCTAGGGCTTCTTGTTGGCTATCTATCTTAATTATTTATCTGTTTCTATTAATCTATGTATTTCCACGTGGTCTTGGCTTACTGGAGAACGCCTGGACCTGTTACTCCTTTCTGGTATACATGGTGACCTTTCTGGTTCTTCTCTTTCCTAGAATAACCCTTGTCTCTTTACCCCACCTATCTTCCTGCATCTATTGGCCAAACTATTTTATTCATCAGCCAGTAAGAGCACATAGTATACGGAAGGCCATCCCCCATCAAACATTCAATGAAGAAAACTAAGTAGGATCTACCAGCTCTAACTGCCTTGTCCTGATATATTCCAGATGCAGGCATGTACTCTAGACTTTGAAAATGAAAAACTTGACCGCCAGAATATGCAGCACCAACTGTATGTGATTCTTAAAGAACTCCGAAAAGCTAGAAGTCAAATAACACAGTTGGAATCCTTGGTGAGTTTTGAATGGCTAATATAAAACTTATTATTCATTCTTCTACCTCCCCATTGATGTGTCAGCTCAGTCCCCAAACCAGAAATACAACTTAAAATGAACTTTATCTCAAATCAGTAGTTGCCCCGTATGTGGTACATAACCTTACAACATCAATCCAGGACTTTAGAAGGAGGGGCGTTACAACACTCTTGCTCATAGTTACTTTACTGGGGTCTGGGATCATCTCCTACCCAAGCTGGCTGCTGCCATTCTAGAGATGCCCAACAGTACCTTGCATAGAAAGTAGAAAATAGAGCATCATGGCATTCTTTTTCATATTTCTAATGAATTTGGGTTCTTTGATGTGTCTGTGAATGTGCCCAGATGTCCCATTAGTGCACATACATATATTGTCCTAGAACTGCAAAATATTTGGAAATGGGAAAATATTATAAATATAACTCCTAGTTTCTAAGGGGGGGAAGCAATTGTTAAAGTAACAACTTGTATGTTACTAAAATAAGTATCTTCTATGGGTGGTATTGGCGCATGCTTTTAATCCCAGCACTCGGGAGGCAGAGTCAGGCAGATCTCTGAATTTGAGGCCAGGCTCCAAAGCTGCACACAGAGAAATCCTTTCTCAAAAAAACAAACCAAACCAATAAATAAATATCTTTATAATGAGCTGTAACATATGACTGTTTAAGCTTTCTTGGCTATTCTAAATTCTTTTTAAAAGAAATGAAATAGCAAAGTCTTAAAGGTATGTAGCATTTTGGTCATCTGTGTATATGACCAATCTGAGCTACTGAAATTCTCTGCTGTTCGCTGTTCTGTGTAGGGTTTTGTTGCTGCTCTCCTTTTGCTTTATGGTTTCACTCCCCAGGGTGTGAAACACTCCCCGGTAAACATCTTCCACTTCAACCTCCTGGGTGCTGGGAACTTTGTACTTCTTTATTCCTTAAGTTACCTCTGTTTTACAAAACTGGCAAATACACGCACACTCTTGAAAATGTCATGAGGAATCCCATTTTGTACTCTGAATTTTAAAGAGGGATAGTCTTCCCTTTACATTTGACTCTATGCCTCTTAGCAAGGCCTATCTATATGAGCACTAACTCACTACTTTCCTGAGTAACTAATGCATTATCCATCTTATTCATGACTGCCTCAAATGTTACCATTAGAATAATAATGAGCAGAAATCCAAAATAAGCTGTCTGTAGGGCTGAAGCATGAAGAGGTGCACATAGCAGTTAAAGCTGCCGAACACTCTGTCTTATGTTCAAACGTGTTCATTTGAAATTTGTTCTGCAGAAGCAGCTACATGGCTTTGCCTTCACAGAGCAGTCGTTCCCAATCCAGAGAGAGCCTGAAAGCAGAGTGAAAGTTACCTCACCCAAAAGTCCCACTGCTGCACTCAACGAAAGCCTGGTGGAATGTCCCAACTGCAGTGTACAGTACCCAGCTAATGAACATCGAGATCTGCTCGTCCATGTTGAATACTGCACGAAGTAGCAGAACCATTCTTGCCTTTGTACAGAAAAGGTCCACACTGTATCCTGTTTGTTTATGGGCACTTTGAATCACAGATCACATCTCTTGCACAAGAAACTCCCTGTCTGCCCTTGGCACTATGGTGTATGAGGGCAGCCTTATATTTTTCTGGCCATTTTGCATTTTCCTTGGTAGCAATACCTCCCTGAGCTGCTTCATCATGAGGCTACAGTGAGAGAATGTGGTGAGCAGTGGGTACCCAGACTACTAGCACTTCACACTGTTTTTCTAACTAGCACTTACTTCATACTGTTTTAGTACCCGATGAACAAGAGCTGTTTGGCTTATTGATTATGGGTTAAAACTATGACCAGCAAGCAGATATTTTATGCTTTGGGGTAAGAGAATGGGAAGGTGATTAAGTACGGCTCTTACTGTGCTGATATTTTTTCATGTAAGTGCTTAGTATAATGACACTTCCAGTTTGATATCTCTTCCTGTTGTCTAACGGTTACTAGAAAAGTTGGGGAGTTTTATAACTTTATTGCTGTTAACTCTTCTAAGCACAATGCAGGTTTTGTTTGAAGAATGCCTTTAAGAAGCTGCACATTTTCACTCATTATCTGACCATAACTTTGACTTAAATTTCATCAGCACAGATCAGTTCCCTAAAATGCCAAATGAACAAAACTTTAACAAAACTGTCTTGCCTCCTCATTCAATTGGAAGGTATTTTATTATATCTTGGTGAGCTTTTGTTTTTTGGCACTCTCAAAGATGGGTGATCAGTGAAATTATCAGATATTTGTTTTCTGAATAGATATTTTTATATATGCTTTATGTAAACCAAAAAGTTGTTTTATTTCTTCAAATTTTCTAACATGCTTAAACCTGGGCTACTATTAGCAATATGAAGGAGGAAATAAATTATTTAATAAGTTTAAAAAAAAAAAAAAAGAAAAGAAAGAAAGAAAAAGAAATTGGCACCTTATACCATATTTACCGTGTCTACTTTGTGTGTACATGTATAGTCTTAAGATCTCTAGTCACAGAGCGGTATTGGGGGTTCAGGATTGACACACACAGGTGACAGGAACTGAGAGACACCAGAGCTATGCTGTGAGGGAGGTAAAAAGAGTGGAGGTGCCTCTGCCGAACAGGTCATAACTCTTAATAATACTTTCCTGAGTTGTTGGTTACAAAGGCAAAGCAGCAAGCCTGTGAAGGTATATGTGATTTTGGCTTTTGAACTTGGGGGGCAAAAAACATTGTATAGATTTGTCAATGTAAATAAAAATTTGTCTTGGAGTTAGTAATCACAAATGCTTAGTATCTTCAACTACAATTGGACAAAAGATACAGAATACTTTTCAGTTAGGTAGCTCTTTACTTTGACCCACAGTGCTACAGTATTTAATTCTAAATGCATGCTATAAGAACAATTTTCCCTTCACGGCTTTTCTGTAAGCCAGGCATTACCTTATAGATACAGATTATAGATATGGAAAATGGCTTGTCCATACAGTGGGTGATGGCTTGCCCATTCCAAAGTAGAGACCAGGCCTTTGGTCTTTGCCTGTTTGGGCAGAAGTTAGGGCTAGCAGTCCCTCTGACCTGGTATCCCCTGAATCTGACTCCTGGGTACGTTTCTGTAGTTCACTGGAGAGTTGGGGCTAGGTGCTTCCCCTGTGAGCTTCAACCACAATCAGGGCACCAGTGTAATTTGTACTTTGGGAAGATGTCAAAAAAAATGGAACAGTTCTGAAGTGTTCCCCATGTTCAGCTCTTTTACATATTTTCATCTGTAGATGTTTAGAACAGGAAAAGTCCTTTTTTCCTGGATCATATTACAGAAGCAAGGTTCAGTCAAGCACTTAAGACCTGAAAACCCTTGAAGAGTCAAACACAGTTCTTTGTCGTCACTGTCTACTTTCTTATGGCACATGGCCACCTATGCTTAGGCCAGGGTTGGTTCTGCAGGACAGTATGCTGCACCAGAAGCTGCTAGATGTTTCATACTTACTCCTTGCAGATCTGTGAAGGATGTACTGATACCAGCACCATTCAGAGATGAAGCAGTACACCCCTGGTCATCACTAACTTATGGGAAAGCAGTGTCCCTACCGAAAAACCCATCCCTCTCTTACGTTATATTGTTAATTCCAGCAAATACACACTGTGGCTGTCATTCCAGGATTCTCCCCCTGTCCATTATGCCACATGTAATCCTAACACACAGGATGCTGATTTAGGAGACTTTGAGTTCCAGGCCAGTCACTACATAGCAAGACTGATTCAAATAACAAAAGACCAAAAAAAAAAATGTATCACAGATAACATTTTATGCATAATATATACAAATTAAAGAGATTTTTAAAGTAATAAATTTGAGATTTTGTTTTTATCTTATATTTATGAGTGTTTGCTGGCATGGATATCTGTGCATGCTTACAATGCCCACAGAGGCCAGAAGAGGGCATCAGATCCCCTGGGACTGGAATTTCAGAGGCTTGTGCCATGTGGTTGGGCAATTGAGCCTGGGTCCTTTGAAAGGCAGCCAGTGCTCTTAACCACAAAGCCATCTCCCCATTTACCAAATTAACGAGTTTTGGCATATGCATCCTTGTAACCATCAGCCAAACAGACATACAGACCACAGCACCACCCCTAAAAGTTTCTTTGTTCCAGTTTCAGTCCAGAATCCCTTCCTCATAGAGGCAATCTGTGTCTGTTACCATGAATTGGAAGTTCACATATATGACATATTGGGTCTTGCTTCTTTGACTCATTAGTGCTTCCAAACTCTTTCATATTTTTATTTTTTAAATTTTCATTACTTTAAAAATGATAGTTTAGCATACAAGTAATGGGTACTAACTATCATAGTTCTTCATACATATGTGTCTTGCTACTTTTTTAATCATTTATTTCCTTCCTCCAGATGGTCTTGCAGACCTCTGCTTTCATTCGCATGTGTTGCATTATTCTCTCTTTTCATTCTTAAGATTTGAAGAATGGTGATGGCGCACACCTTTGATCCCAGCACTCGGGAGGCAGAGGCAGGTGGATCTCTGTGAATCTGAGGCCAGCCTGGTCTACAAAGCGAGTTCCAGGACAGTTAGGACTGTTACACAGAGAAACCCTGGAGCTATTTTCCTCCTTTCTCATGATGACCTGCATGACAACCTGCACACACATGCACCCACATGCACCCATGCACTTTTTTCATGTACATGTAATTTGTTTTTTAAATAGCCAAATAACATTCTATTTTATAAACACTATTTTTATTAATGTATGTGTTTGTACTTCTCTTGGTAGCAATTTGCATTGTATCTTATGTAAGTGTTGTGGGTATTTGCTTGTTTGTTAGTTTTGGTGGTGTGGGAATCAGACCCAGAGCCTTCCTTATGCCTCTGTGTATGTACTTTATTGCTGAGTTACAGCCTAACCCTCTTATGCCAATACTTTTGAGGGTCTATCTTTTCATTTCTATTAGGGGAATATTTACAATGGGTCACAATAGGTGATATTTATCCTTACTGACAACTATCCAACAGTATTTTTTCAGTGACTAAAGGAATTCTTTTTTTCTAATGAGCCTCCACAGGGAAGAACCACGTACACAATGGTCAGTGACCTCTGCAACAACTTTGCTATAAATACACCACTGATTTCTTAATGTCTCTACATAGGTGAAAACCTGAGGCCCAGAGGCAACTCCCCATCCTCAGGGGCAAGCTGTATCCAACTCTCTGTTCTGGCTTATCCCAGCCACATTTTAAAGCGGAGAGCTGCAATACCTGCTTCTCAGGGGTCTGATGGGCAGTGAGACAGAGCAGCTGCTACGGTGGAGGCTGGAAGGGCATGGTCTCATGGGAGAGCTGTTTGTCCAAGAACAATGAATATGATATGGCCATATTAGTTACTTTCTGTGCTAGAATAAAATACCATGACTAAGGCAACTTCTAGTAGGAAGAGTTTATTTTCACTTAGAGTTCCAGAGGGATGAGTCCATCGTGGCTGGGAAGCATGGCATTAAGGGGCAGGTATGACAGGAAGTGTGGAGGCAGCGACAGGAAGTTGCCAGTTCACCTCTTATTCACAAGCACAAAGAGAGAGCAAACCAGAAGTGGAGCAATCCTATAAGCTCTCAAAGCCCACTTCCTCCAGCAAGGATCTACCTCTCCTACCTCCCCTAAGAGTGCCACCAGCAAGGGGCCAAGTATTCAAATACTGGAGCCTGTGGTTTCTCATTGAAACCACCACAATGGCTTAACTTTTAGATTTTTCTGAGAAAAACCTGAAATTTTAAAATATGAAACCTCCTGCAAAACAACAACAACAACAAACAAAACCTGTAGTTGGTGACTTTCAAAGAGTGACTTGCCTGTGATGGGAAGGAAGCCAAGGACAGTTCAGGGTTCTTGCCTGCCATGTGAGCACTGAGGTTTCCTTGTGTCCACTTGAGTTCAACAGGTGCTGTTTGAGGGACAGGGCAAATACTCCCTCCCTAACCCTTCCCTGCCACCTGCCATCTGGCAGCTCTTAATGGCTACATTTCTGGACAGAGCTGACTTAGCAGCCAGCATTTCCTGATTACTTTCTGTTTCCCTAGGCCCACACAGAAGGAAGGTCAGTGGGAGGAACTGGCTTCAAGACCATCTACATAAGGGCTTCGGGTCCAGGAATGCCCTCCGAGCCTCTTCTAAATGCTGATCCCAGGCCTCCAGATCTCCATCTGAATATTTGGGAGAGTGTATACTTAATAAGCTCTCTGGGGCATCCTGGGCATTCCTGATTGGAACTAATCCAATTAGTGCCACAGCAGATACCAGAGATGGCATCACACACCCAAGGTCACATAGCAGGTTCATAGAAGAGGGAAGAACTAAGGTTCTTCAAGGCAGTAGCTGTCCTGCTGTCTGGCCTTGTGTGTTATGATTCCAGGGAAGTTATTCTGTTGGAGATCCCCAGTATTTTGTTTTCCGAAGTCTGATCTACTCATTTGTGGGCCTCGTTCACATTTCTCTTTTGTACTTTAGTGATGTTGGCTCTGGATGGTTGAATGGGAATTATCAGGCTGGCATTCAAGAGAAGTCTAATGCTCAAACAAGGCTGGGAGGGCAAGAACCAAGGGCAAGGTTTTCATAGAGCTAAGAGGACAAAGCTCTGAGATTGTCCCATAGTCCTGAAAAAGTGGGAGACCCCAAAGAACCAAACTCATGTAGTGTCACCCAAACCAAGCATCTGGCAGTTGGCCTTCACTCTCCCACCTTCCAGGCTCACTCACCTATGCCATAGTTTGGGTCCGAAATGTGCCAGAAAGATGCATGCATTAAAGGACTGATCCTCAGGGCGTCACTATGGGGGCGGGGGCGTGTAGAACCTTCAAAGAACTGAGTTTTGTCAGAGATCTGGGCATCTCCTTGAAGGGAATTGTGGGACTGTGGTCTTGACTTGTTTGTGGGCTCTCAGCTGTGCACAGGCCCCAAAGAAACAGGGCTCAAGAATCATGACTGAAGCACCCAGAATAAAACTGCCTTCATGAGTTGAACTTAGCCATTTTTTTCTAGTGATCAAAAGCTGACATGTATTTCCTGAAGAATCTTACCTGTTTCAAAGACTACCAAGCCCAGACCTCATCACTTGACCAGCAGATGTTTAACCATCTACAGCTGTAGCGGAAGCCAGAGGGCCCCATCTGACATCTCCCCAAGGTTGAGAGATGATAGACTTCCCAAACCAGGCAATAGCCGATTTATTAGTTAAGGAAACAGGCTATTCAAGTAAGAATCATGTTTGTTGTTACAAGAGAACACTAAGCAGAGGTTAAAGAAAACATGGCCTGTGTCATATTAGTGACTTTCTGATGTCAAGGTTTGAGGGGAAGGGCAATAGACCCAGATTCTGATACAGTAGAGGGTGTTTCCCATAGCCTAGTGTCT